TGTGTTTTCTCTGACCCCCAGTAAGAATGTCATTTCACATGGGACCCCATGGACATCCACAGTGCACGGGAGGTGGCACTGCCCCACAGTCCCTTCCTGCATTGTATTCTGTGCCAATTAAGTGGCAGACTTAGCAATACACATACAGCCCATCCTGTTAAATTTGAATTCTAGACAAATGACAAATTTTTTAAAAATATGTGTATATCCCATATTGGGGATATACTTATGCTAAAAATTATTTGTTATTTATCTGAAATTCAATCTAATCCCATGTTTCCCTTGGGAACCCTAATTCTCTAGTTTTTCAAAACTGCTGTGATCCCCTAACCCAGTGTCACAGCCCCTAACAGTGGCAACCTGCAGTTTGATAATGCTGCATGAGGTGACAGAACACTGAGCTTTTCCTTCCACAGGGGAACCCAAGTCTGTGAAGGAAATCAGATGAGCCCTTGAGAGGGAGGGTGACTTTAAAGACACCTCTGGATCTCAGGCAGCTGACCTTGATGCCTGGACAGAAGAGGCCTTTCCTGCCCAACCACCAACTGAGATTGAAGATGCTGCAGTAGGAACTGGTAGTAGGATGCTGCATGCACACCCACACACACCTGCACACCCACACACACACCTGCACATACACACATGCACACAGCAGAAGCAGGCACTGTTGGCCTCTCTGAAGGTCAAAGGATAAACCTCTGCACATGCCAGTCAGCTGGCCCTTCAGGAGTGAGGTGGCCTCCCCTGGCAAAACTGAGCCTTGTTCCCATGCAGACTCCAGGCAATGTGGGGCAAGGTCATGACCCCACGGGGAAGTAATCAGGCACAACCAAAATGTGAGATGTCCTACAAGACAACTGGCCCAGTTTCCTAAATGAGACATAGTATTAACCAGGGAAGGGGACAGTTCCAGATTAGAGACACTTCTAAGAGACCTGAGAGACATTAACACACATAATAGGCAATCCCATTTAAATAAACCAACTGTAAAAAGACATTTTATGGACAGAGCAACTTATTTTTATTTTTTTTAATATTTAATTTTTAGTTGTACACAATACCTTTATTTTGTTTATTTATTTTTATGTGGTGCTGAGGATCGAACCCAGGGCCTCCCACATGCAAGGCAAGTGCTCAGCTACAACCCCAACCCTGGACAGAGCAATTTAAATGTGGCAGTGGATATTCAATGACATTAACCCTCAGTTTGCCATCAAGGTCCAGTGAATCCAACTGTTGTTAGTTTTTGTTAGTCCTGTTGTTAGTTTTTGTTGAGCAGTTCAGTTTATAAGGAATGATAAAGTTCATGACTTTTGCTCTCCGTTAGAGACTTTCCAAAGAATAAAAAATAAAATTTGCTTATTTATAATTTTTTTTTAATTGTAGATGGACACAATGCCTTTACTTTATTTATTTTTATGTGGTGCTGAAGATGGAACTCAATGCCTCACACATGCTAGGCAAGCCTCTGCTACTAAGCCACAGCCCCAGTGGAAAAAAAAAAAAGAACAAGTGGACAAGCCCAGAGTGGTAGAACACACCCGTAATCCCAGCAACTCAAGGCAACAGCGTTGCAAGTTCAAAGCCAGCCTTAGCAACTTAATGAGTCCCTAAGCAAATTAGTGAGATCCTGTCTAAAAATAAAAAGGGCTGGGGATGTGGCTCATTGGTTAAGTTCTCCTGGGTTCAATCTCCAGTACAATAAATAAATAAATAAATAAATAAAAGAAAAAAGAACAAAACTCATTCAATTCTGCAATTACCTATGGGTTTGTTCAAGCCAAATTTACATTTCGGGATACTTAGAGATTTTATTTTTCTTGTATCTTGAAATATTTTGCTTTCAGCATCCTGAGTATTATTTTAACACTTCTTACCGAATACTTCCCAGGTATGCTAGAAGACAAGGATGACAAGGATAACAAAAAACAAAGACGGATGACAGCATGTCATCCTGAAGAGACAACACGATGGTGACGTCAATCCCATGGCCACGTTATCCTGCTGCCCTCCAGCTGCTCCAACTCTAAGAAGGTATGGAGGAGGTCTGGGGAAAGGCTTTCATTGTTCTACCTGTCGAGTCACACAACTAAGTGTGCAAAAGTTTTCACTTTCCACATACAACAGCGAGGAGAAAAGTGGCCTAGGGAAACATTTCCCTTTCATCAGTGTGAGAAATAGAAAGTCCCGTGGTCCATTTTCACCATATGCTATTTAGCCTTAAATGTAAAATTGGGATGAAAGATGCAGTTGTACCCATTTTGAGCTTCCCAACCCACAGCCAATCACAGCCATTCTAACTATAGCCCTGCCTTTGCCCTCCCCAATTTTAGAAGTAGCCAATTGCTAGATTGTAGCCCTGAGCTCTTCCTGTCAGAGCAAGGGGCAGTGCTGTGTTAAAGGATAAATACAGGCAGACTGCCCACCCAGGTGTGCTTGCTCACTCCACACACTTTCTACCGTAGCACATTCTTTTGCAGAAGTAAAGTTTGACTTGCAGAGTAACTTTGGAGCATGTGCCTGATTTCTTGCTGCACCCCAATATTTATAGCCATCTTGGGGCTCATTTGAGGGAAATTATATCACCTAGGGATGGGGGAGACCCCTTCCTTAGAGGAGAGGTGTCCCAGTACTGTGTTGTGGCAACCTTGAGTGGGAGGGGCACCTGTGACCCCTCAGGCTGACAATGGACTCAACCAAAGGTTGATCAACAACATGGGAAAAGGGACAAGCAAGCACTGCAACAACCAGGTAGCTATGCATGGACCAAGGTAGGGAAATCTATTCTCAAGCTCAAGGAAGAAGTGCTTCCTTGATGGTCAGGCCATCCCGGAGGTTGTATATGAAGGAGGTGGAAACTTACAACCCCTCTGGAGAAAAGGAAACCAGGGACTCTGACCTTTCACAATTTCCCTTATTTGCTAAAGTTCCCCTGCCTAAAAACAACTCCACCAAAAGATTCTGACAAATTCCTCTCATGATGTGGCCCTGCTACATCCTATAAAACTCAGACCCGGGGCTGGGGTCATGGATCAGTGGTAGAGCACTTGCTTCGCATGTGCAAGGCCCTGGGTTCCATCCTCAGCACCACATAAAAATAAATAAATAAGGGCTGGGGATGTGGCTCAAGCAGTAGCGCCCTCGCTTGGCATGCATGCATGTGGCCCGGGTTCGATCCTCAGTACCACAGACAAAGATGGTGTGCCCGCCAAAAAATAAATAAATAAATAAATATTAAAATTCTCTCTCTCTCTCTTTAAAATAAATAAATAAATAAAATGAAGTTATTAAAAAAAAAAAAAAAAGCTCAGACCCTTCTTGTAGCCAGTTGCCATTTTCCTCTTGAAAATGTGCCCCTCCACTGCTTAATAAAGCATTGATGATCTGTTGAGATCTGTCTCCACTTCTTTTTCTTTGTTTTCTCTTATTTGCTTTCATTTGGCTGAAACCCAGGACAGGATTTGGAGTTCCCTACCTCTCCTTGTCCTAACAACCCTCTATTGCCTTTTAATCTTCCTCTCTCCTCTCTGTTTCTTTCCTTCTTTTCTCCTAATAGAGAGAGACCCTTCCAAACCTTCGGGTTCACTATAGCTAAACAGAGGCCAGTACTCAACCTGAAATCGACCCCATTCCTGGGCTAGATTTTGGCTACCTCACTGCCATGTGGATGGAGCAAGAATCTGTATTGGGTCCTATATTGGTATTGAAGGCAAACTCCTCCTAACTTTATCCCTTCCAATTCCTTTCTTTGCTATACACTCAGACCTCTGGATCAGAAGCCACTTTCTGCCATTTTGTATCCGCATATAACACCAACCTCCTCAATCTTCAGAGAAGCAATATTTCTTTTGTCTCATTCAGAGGCACCCTGCCCTAGACCTTCCACCTTTCAGCTTGTCTGAACCCCAGGGGTCCTTCACCACTGAGATTGCTGAAGGGGATGCCCTTTCATTCTCTGGTGGAACTGTTTGGTTTGGTGATGGGAGACATCAAGGACACTCTGATCTCAACTGCCACCCTGGTCAAAACTCTGAACATGGGGGCTGACCAGTCCACCCTAGGGGACTCTCCCCTTAGGTTGTCTCTAAAAATTTTTAAAATCCACTTCCAATCCAATCTCAAAAGTAAATTTCTTATTAGGCTGAGTACTCAGATCTGCCCGCAATGTAAATTAAAAAACCTAAGTCAATGGCCCAAATTCAGAATTCTGGACCTTTGATCCAAAAATCTTTCAAGACTTAGACAATTTCCTCCATCAAAATGGCCAATAGCCTGAGGTTCCTTACCTTCAAGCTTTCTTTTACCTTCGCTCAAGGCCCTCATTATGCCAACTTTGTTCTGTTCTACAATTAATTCTTGCTGACTCCCCACTGCATAAGCCCCCTATATCAGGTCCTGACCCCCAGTCTTCTTCTTCATTTACTGCCCCTGAAACTGCAGATGAACTCCCATCAAAAGTAAATAAAGCTGCAGGCTATAAAAAAAATTTTCACACAGGAGTGCCTGACATCTATCAAAAGAGACTGTCAGAGTCACAAGCTTTTTTCTGAGTCAATTTGAGAACTACAAATCTTCCTAACCTCCTACATAGGTGGGCTTGATATGTGTTTCTGCTTTGCTAGTATGAAATGAAAAAGAGTCTCTGGAGAAAACATAAACTACAGGACCACATCTTAAGAGATTGATTTTACAAAAGAAAAAAAATGGTTAAAATGCCCTATATATGAGGTTTTGCTTCTCAAGCTCAAAACAGCAGTTTCCCTTACTCTAACTTCTGCCAGATCTCTGTCTCCCCAAGGCTTACAGAGCTTTCAGAAATTGCAAGACTTACAAGACTTGCAGAGGTGACCGCCTAGAACCGGTTTGAGACCAAAAAGAAAAAAAAAAAGTGTAACTTTTAAATTCAAGGACCTAAATGGCTGGCTATCTTATCTTCTCTTGCACTCTACAACCCTTTCTTAACAAGTTCCTCCATAATTGCTACAGCACAGGAAGGGGAAAATGAAATGATCTCATATACAAGTCTTCTCTTCTTTGAGAATCTTTAGCTGAAGATTTCAGGACACTTGGATATTTGAACTGACTCTAATCTGTGACCTGATAAAGATGCTCTGCATGCTCCATTACTGGAGTAATTCTGCCACGTCATTATTTTTAGGACTTCTGCTTTAAAAAAAAAAAATTGTAATTTGAGCTCATGGTTTTATGGTGAATTCAAATTTGATCCTGCACACCTAAATTAATATCTTTTATTGATCCAACTTATTTTATCTAACTATAGAGGTTTTTATACCCTGTCTTTGTTCAGAGGCCAATTATCAAGGGATAGCTCTCAAATACGTTGGAAAAATCTCCTTTTACAAAGTCCTAAGAAGGACATAGACATGGTAATGTTGAGGATAAATCTGATAATCTGATAGTCATCGAGGGCAAGTAGCTACCTGAAACTTTTGATTTCAGTGTCCACCATGGCTGTTGGACTTCACATCTAGCATTTTCAACTATATTGGACTGCCCTACATTTAAGTTATAATATAAAATTCTTATAGGCTCTATTTTAATTTCTATCAGTTTAAATTTAATAGAGGCTTTAATAAACATCTGTAGCACTGTCTTCTACTTGTGGAGATCTACCTACAAAAAACTACAAGATCTTTGTTTACTCTATTTTATATATGTGTGCATCCTGCGTACTGTATTGTTGTGTCTACATATGTGCTTGTATCCATATATCATATACATGGTACCAATATTGGCATAGATAAATGAATGCTCATAAGTAAAAATTTTTAAAAATGGATCCAAATACCTTTTAGTTCATGTGACTTAAAAAGTTCAATTTAAATTTTGTAAACAGATGAGAGTAAAGATTTCTTTAAAATTACTAACTCACAAGTTTTTCTAGGTGGTCAGACAATAGATTTTTGGTTTCTATGATTGTTTTCAATAGGAAAGAGAGAGCTAGTACCATTAACTATGCTTATCTGATATCTTGATTTTCACAGCTAGAAATGAGTAAATTAGATTTGACATCAACATCAATGGTATTAATAATAAATGTGTTTGTTAGAGGAGATACCTGATTAATTTATAAAATTAAAGTGCTAAAACATCAACTGTTAGATAAAAAATCAAGTACTCTTGACTTCTTAAATTCCATAAAGTAATATATTTAAACATTAAATGTGTTTTTATAAATTGGTAAATAAAAAAATAGTTTAAGCTTGCTTTGTATCTAGGTCTTTACTAAAGTGAGATTACTAAGAGTTAAAGTTCTAAAAGGTGTAATTCTATATGCAAAAAGTACAAAAAGTTTCAGCTAAATATTTCAATTAAAGTACTGTAGATAGCAAAAGTATTTCATCTTATTAAGAGTAGTAATTGGAGTCAGGTGCTCTGGCACATGACTGTAATCCAGCAGCTCAGGAGGCTGAGGCAGGAGGATCTCAGATTCAAAGTCAGCCTCACCAATGGTGAGGTGCTTAGCAACTCATTGAGACTCTGTCTTGAAATAAAATCAAAATAGGGCTGGGGATGTGGCTCAGTAGTTGAGTGTCCCGAGTTCAATCCCTGGTATGCCACCCCCCAAAAAAGGACTAATTGGGGAAAAAAATAGAAATTTCATAAGGATTTTTCAAGAATGTGAACTTAAAAAGGGATTAACAGCTTGGAAATAGATATAAGAAGGTTCTAGGTATGGAAATATGTTTTAGTATGAAAATAGAAGGAAAAAGAAACGTTTCCAGATGAGAAAGTCTTTTGTGTGATAAAGTAAAAAGTTATAGAATGTGTTAAGTAAGTTGCAGAAGGTTTGTGGAGGGAAAATTTCAAAAAGTTTGTGTGTAACTAAATTGATTGTGTATGATCAGCACAATCAGTTTAAGTTATTTAAGGCTTTTTCCTGAGGTTAAATATTAATGTACTGGGCTGGGGATGTGGCTCAAGCGGTAGCGCGCTCGCCTGACATGCGTGCGGCCCGGGTTCGATCCTCAGCACCACATACCAAC